CCCCCTCATCCCTTCCCAAACCGCCCCAGTGTGTCCCCCCCCCCCTTTTTTTTTACCAGAACCAAACCAAAACCACGCTATGTTAAGTATGCATTCTCCTCCTTCTGCTCCTCCTGCTCCTCCTCTTCTTCTCACCGCGGAACTCGAAAATATATATATACCGCTTTTACTTACTTGCCTACAGGCGTTTCCCCCCCCCCCACGCTGTGAGAAGAAGGCGTGGATACCCGGGATCGCAAGCGTGTATGTAAGTACCCCCGGAACAAACTAATGCATGGATGGATGGATGGATGGATATATCTGGATTTTCGGGTTTGACTAGATTGCTATGTCACTCACTCACACACACACACATACTCACACACACTGACTCACATCGCCCTATCCACTTGCACATCTCTACAGATGTCGTCTACATATCCACACGCCCCCCCTTTTTTTTAAATTGTGCGTTGCTTGTCCAACAACAATCTCTCACACAAGTGGTTATGCAGGTACATATATATCAGTGTTGATGTGGACGAGAAGCCAGTGCTGGATTTTGCTATTCTTGGAATTGTATGCCGGACTAGGTACGTATCCTGCGTGCTTTCTTACGTACTTGTTTGTTTGTTTGTTTGTATGTATATATCTCTGCCCATGGATATGTCTGTGTGTGTGTCTGTGTGTGTGTCTGCCTGATTGTCACGCAGGCCCTCGTACAAAAAGTACTCGTACTAATGTGCCAAGTTAGCCCGGATTATCCCAGACTTGAATGACCAAGTGGCCAATCAAATAATTAGATAAGACGAGAAGAGATGCATAAGCCGCGCTAACGGAGAGGGACAAAGGTAGGTAGGTAGGTAATGCACAGTCTCACGCTCACGCTCGCGCTCGCGCTTGCTTTGGTCCAGGAAATTTTGTGGATGGGGCTATTCTTGTTTAGACTGTGGGCTGGGCTGGGCTCGGCTGAGAGAAGTGGATGGGGGGAAGTAAGGGAGAAGATGGTGAAAGGGGGTAAGCGGCGGACGAGAGGCTAGAAGGGAGGGTAAACGGCAGAGGAAGGGGAGGCAAAGGTTTCACATGTGTGTGTGGAAGTGGAGCTGAAGCTGAAAGTGATGTAATCTCGCATCATAGTTTCAGTCTGGTGTAATGTGCGTGTATGTCTTTATGCCTGTATGTCAGTTGTACGCAGGTTCCCGCCGCCACTGCCAGTGACATGGTGGAGTACTGGGGTTTGATAAAGGGGCGGGCGGGCGGATGTAGCTATCTAGGAGGTTAATTTACTGGTCCAGTGGTGATATGCGAGTGTGTGGAAGTGCGTCTCAAGAGGAGAGCTGAACCCACGACTAATGCTAATGCTAATGCGAATGCGAATGTAGAGAGCCAAGTGTGTAGAACAAATAGAGGGGCGTGTACACGGCGTTAGTGAGCTGAAAAGAGTACTTTTATCCCTACCTGCCATCCTATTTGCTACGCTTTCTTTTCCGTCTATCTTGCGACGTATCAGAGACAACGTATCAGCAGTGCACTGCGAATCTTTTTCCACGTGGCGAAATGCGAATATACCCACGTACCACAACATCGAATGAATGCATCTCTCTGCCTTCTCCCACTCCTCACCTTTTTTTTCCCACCTTGCATCCAGCACTAATCCCAACCCGACTACAGTATGCGTGTGTGTCTCATCCACGCCTTGTACCACGGTGGAATCTGCAGACAGGACCCTGTCATTTCGACTATATGGGTATGACAGCCGTTTTTTTCTTTGCTGCTCGCGTTACACGCTTGCCGCTGGTGAACATCCCGGCCTGCGACTAGCATGCCGAGGGGGGGGGCGGGCGACGACATATCGACGCGAGGAGGGTGGTACAAGATGAGTAGCGTTTTTTTATGACTCTCTTCTAGCTGTCTGTTTACAAACAAAGGTACTCGAAAAGGTAGTATCCAAGTCACAATCAAGCGTGCAAGTAACGGATCCCCCCATATCAGTATCTTGCTACAGCATCCGGCAATACAGTGTGCCAGATGCTCTATTCACACCGCAAAATACGACACCGAGTTTGCTCCTCTCTCTCTCTCCACCTGCATGCTACATGCCTACAAAGCCAGAAAAAACCCCCAACATGTACATGCATGCACGTCACCGCATTCTGCATCTCGCGCCGCCCCAATCGTACAAACACAACCAATCAAACGCTTCTTCCCAGCTTCATGTCTAAGAAGAGGCATTTTTGCCCCCTCCCCCTCCCCCTAAGATAACCTGGTCTCCTGCTGTGCAATAACGCAGCGTTGCCGCCGTCACTGCAGCGAGCCTACCCACTCGGTATTCCCCCCCCTTCCCCCCTGTCAGCGGGGAGCGGGCGAAAAGCTAGCTTAGCTATACGTAATAGAAGCGCGGTAAAAGTAAAAAACCCCGTCTTCTTCTTGGTCTAAGGTTCTCTGCATACTACTGTATTCCCCCCCTCCCCCGCCCACTTTGTGCAAGCGTCCATTTGCAATACCCGAGCCGGCAGGTATCCCCGTTTTTTTTCTTTTCTTTCTTTTGCCCTCGCCGCTCGTCGGTGAGTTTTTAGCTTGGTTTCATTTAGCTTTGGTTTCTGGATATCCCCCGTTGCATGCATGCATGCTGCATGAGGCGTGGGGCTCGCACATTCTCGACCTGTGAAAGGGAAAAAAAAGGGGGGGGGGGAGAAGCAAGGCAAGTATCCTTCCATCCATCCATCCATCTATCCATCCATTCACTGGACTACTTTTGCATTTACATATGTGTATATATATGTCTTGTGTGACGCATCCACACATCTTTTGATAGGCAAAAAATTCCCTTTCTTGTTTCTTCATTTCCCCCCGTCTGCGGACTTACCTGCCTGTCTGTCTGCTACAAGGAACATCCTCACACGCACACGTGTTACTGCACTACCGGTTCTCTATATGCCCTTTCTTTTCGGTTTTCCTCCCATTGCATAGCTTCTATTCTCTCCCCCCCCCCCCATCCACCTTTCTGCGTCCAGAAAGACGACCACGAGAAAAGCACTACAAAGCTCTGCCATGGAAAAACGCATCGGACTCCAGAACCTCGACAATGACATTCTGCGTGCGCGCGACAGACGGCTGGTAGTTGCCGAGACAAAAGGGCACGACTTTGACCGCGACCGGTATGAATTGGCGCGAGTGGGAAAGGAGCAGGTGCTAAAGGTAAGTTTTGGGCGGACTTACAGTTCTGCGTTTGTCCACACGTGGAGAGGAGAGGGGACTTTTTTTTTGAGCCCCGCGTAGAGGACAAACATGTCAATGTGGTTCAGGGTTTCTGATATGCGTGACAGCGTCGCTTTGGCTTGGTGTCCATGACCGGGCTGTCGTGCGGGTTGATGTGTACGTGGGAAACGCTAC